ATTTAATAACATGTAAAAGTTTTATAAAATATAATACAAAAAAAATTTTTTTAACAGCAAAAAAATTTCAATTAAAAAACTGAATACAAAAGATACTCAAACTCATGTACTTATACAAAAACACAATAATACAAGCCCATCAATATTAATCCCATCTTTCAAACCCTTCCTGCTAATCAATGAAGTAGGACAAATAACCAACTTGAAAAATTGAATAACACGTGGCTTTCTTGTCTTAATCCATGCAAAAATCATAAATGAAAGGTTTCAACCAATTTAATCACTATGTTAAAGTAATGTTATTTTTCACCACTAATAGGTTCAGCACTAATGTAGTACAAAAAGGTTGTTTCTATATAATCAATCTTCTAATATATGCTTGGCATGAGTTAAAAAAGTATTAATTATATTTTTTTTAATGATTATTATAAAAATTAAAAGTAAGTTTGAATGTGTTTGGAATAAGTTAAGAAAAATATATTAATTTCATTTGTTCAATAATTATTATAAAAAAAATAATTTTAATTTTATCAACTTCTAATTAAAATTATTTATAGGTCATTAGTGTTAAAAATAAAATTAACTTATATATTTTTTCATATAAATGAATAAAAAATCACAATTAAGGCACCCTTAATCTAGCATATGTTAGACAAACCCTTACATAAATTGTACGTTTTTTTTTTTTTTTTTTTTTTTCTCTTTTCTTCAACAAAAACTTTAACCGAAAGTACCCAATCATTTGTTGGCTCCAAGTCTTCCAAAAGAGAGAAAATATTTGTTTGTTTTGGAAAATTAAATAGTATAATAGATGCTTAATGATTTTCATCATGTTACTATATTATTAACTATGCATTATGAGATAGGCATTTGCTACCTAAAAGAAACAAGAGAATGATGGATCACACTTTGCTAATCCATCTTATATTGTTCTCTGACAATTTATTTTATGGTGGTGTTTGATGGATCTTATTTCTTGAGTTATTTATAAACAACTTTTTCCCTCATAAATTTTAAATTCAAGATAAAACATTTTTTTTAATATTTTTGGAGTTAATAAGTAAGTTTTAGAGGAAAAAAAAAAAAATCCAATTCAGAGCTTCTTCTAGAACTTTGGGGTCATTTGAGGAGACTTAGAAATAAGTTTATTTTTAAGTACATTATTTTTTTATAAATTTAAAATCTTATTGTGAGAAAATTTTGAATTTGAATTTAAAGTAACTTATAAGCAAATTTTTATAAAGTTACAAATTTTAATTTTCTCAAAATTTAATTCAAAGTTACTTTAAAAGTTAAATTCACATTTCTTCTTAACAAACTTTTAAATTTGTGAGAAATAGATTTGTTTAAAAACATCATTGTTTATAAGCTTCTTTTTTTTCTTTCTTTTTTTTTACTACAAATCAACTTTTTCTCTAATAAAATTTAAATTTTGTGAAATTTTGACAACCCAAAAATTGACCTCCAACAAACAACTCCTAGAACTTTTCAAATATATATTTTTCCCCCTTTCTGTTTCTTGGATGTGGTCAAGTAAAAGTGGAACATCAAAGGCATAAAAAGATAACATATACCTTGACAAATGGTAGCCTTTTTTGTTTTTGTTCCATTGGGAAGTTGCGAGGATGCCATTTTATGTCCTCAAAAGCGTGTGTTAGAATCAGCACTGCAACTAAGTACGGAATGTCGTTTGGGTAAGTGTCAAATTTCCGAATATAAGGTGGCCAATAAAATATGCACCAACTTTATAGTTGTAAGGATGGACCAACTTCTTAGAAAGTAAAATGTTCCAACCATTTGTACAAAATTTCTGCACTTGAATTTGTAGCTAGTGTCATTGATGATATCCTTGATGATATCCTTTTGTTTGAACTTTGAAGTGCCCGGATGGGATTTTCTTTAATATTAAAAGTATAAGTCCTAAAGTATTTAGGGATTTATCAACAACCCGTTGATCTAAGTGAAAAAAACTCAATTCCCTTTATATAATATCTTGAATTCGAATATTATGAATGGAGAAATAAGTATTGGGAGAATTTCTCCCTTTATGAAATCTGATGCAACTTGATTTCGAATTAGTTAGAATTTAATGTAATTATTGGATACCGAGAAATTAGTATAAAAAAGAGTATTTAGGGATTTGTTTGGTAATTTATGCCGCTTAATTAAACAAGGCTAATTTCGCTATTTACAATTGGATTTGTTTTCTATCTACAAGTTCTGAACACTGTCAAGGATTAAGACTTTCAACAGGCAAGCACTAATCGCTCAAAGACATCCTTGTTTGTTTATTTATTTATTTTAAGTTAATTTAGTAATGTAATTATTTTATTTTATTAATTTATTTTTTTTATACATTGCACAGTTAAATACTTGATATTATAGAATTTCGAACTCTAATTTTGACCATAAATTAAAATTTCAAATTAATAGTATTAAGTTGACTAAACTCTTGTTAATTCATTTTATTCATTTCCATTTACCAAAAAACTTCATTTTATACTAAAATTGAAATTTTAGTATTTAATTTTTTTAAATAGAAAGTAAAACAATTAATTCACATCACATTTATTTAAATGAAAAACTCAAATTAGAGCGGATAAAGTATAAACCAAAATATTTTTCTATCAAGCTAAAAATTTTCTACATTTAGGTTGGGATTCAAGGCAAGCTTTATGATTGCTAATTTCCCTTTCTATTCTCACTCCTTTATGGTTCTAAAATCATGCAACAAAAAGTGTTGGCATTATACTAAATAAAAACTAGTTCACTTCGTTGATGGTTTTTTAGTTTATTTTTTGGTGCTAGTTTTATAGTTTCATTTTTAAGATAGCAGTTTTACAATTTATTATGCATAAATTATATATTTAATAATAATTGATAAAGAATTATCATAATATTAAGGAATTTGTTCCTTAATTAGTTATACAATATGCAGTTTACGATAAGATGAATTGCACATCATTTTTATATCATTTTTACCAAATAGTTTTATAATTAGAAATACTTTGTATAATATTTTTAATATATTTGATAATAAATTATCCAAATAAAATATATAATAAAAGATATGATTCTTTCTTTACAATCTCATCTCAAGATATAAAAATAAAATCTTACCTTAACTCTTAGTCACTTGGTCAAACCCCCAAATCTAGCTTCTAAATAAGGATTGGGATAAATTAACTCTAAAAGAAAGGAATAAATTATTTTTTTTAACTATTAATAGAGACAAATGATCTCAACTTTAATGACTAACGTTATCACATGTCAGAAATCTATTTGCCACATAAACGTGTTTCTAATTGAAAGTTGATGTGTGATGTGTGATGTGTGATGTGTCAACTATTAAATAATAGATCATTTATCTTGATTAAAGATTTGGAAGAAGAATTTTTTTTTTTTTCCTAAAGGTGAATTTGTTTCTGTCCCTTAATTGAAGGGCAAATTTAAGAGTTCAGTCTAAATATTTAAATTATATTTGAGTTGAAGGGAGTAGGAAGGAGATGTGGGGGAACAAATTTTCCTTTATTTAATTATCAAAATATTTTGAGAGAATGAGAGGTGAAAAAAATCTTTTACTTATTTTTATTTTATTTTCTTATCTAAATAAAATTTTAAAAAAATTAGAAAATAAAGTCTTCCTTTCCCCCCTTTTTTTTCTCTCTTCTCCATTTCCCCCCCACCTAAGTATACTCTTAAAAATTTTCTTAAAAGTTGATAAACAAAGACAAAATTATTGACATATACGCTTACCTCAAAAAGTAGAATAAGAAGCCGTTACCGGTTCCTTGCTTTTGGTAGGTTGTGCTTATCCATTTTATCATGAAAATACAATTGTACCCTCGACAAGTCCACGACCTGACCTGTGGTAGTGTGGTACTGGTAGGTAAGGGGAGTGCGGACCACAGCGCTGCTGGCTCATTCAGTGGTCATATTAGTATCTGTATATCCCACGCGCCGTTCTTTTTTTAAATAGTATTTGTTTTTATTTTATCTCTTCACACTATATAATCAATTATTACTTCCGTTTAAAATTAATTGTATTTTATATATAAAAAAATATTATATAATATGAACAGTATAATTTTAATTAATAATAAGTTTTTTTATGTCGA